AAACACTGGGAAGAACAACAACAAAAAAACCCAAACAAACAAAACAACACAGGGAGGGGCAGAAGATGAGGAAGTATCCCCAAAATAACAAAATAACAACAACAACAAAAGGAAAGTTAAGGGCAGTGTCTATGGCTCAGTGAGCAGGGTACCGGCCCCATATACCAAGGGTGGCCGGTTCAAACCTGGCCCCGGCCAAACTGCAATAACAAAAAAAAATTGCCAGGCGTTGTGGTGGGCGCCCTACTACCAACTACTCGGGAGGCTGGGGCAGGAGAATCTCCTAAGCCCAGGAGCTGGAGGTTGCTGTGAGCTGTGACGTCACAGCCCTCTACCAAGGGCAATAAAGTGAGATTCTGTATCTAAAAAAAAAAAAAAGGAAAGTTAAAGTCATAAAATAAGAAAATCAGAAGAACTAGAGCTCAGTGGCTAGGGCATTAGCCACATACACCAGAGCTAGCAGGTTTGCATCCAGCCTGGGCCTGCCAAACAACAATGACGACTACAACCAAAAATAGCCAGGCGTTGTGGTGGGTGCCTGTAGTCCCAGCTACTTGGGAGGCTGAGGCAAGAGAATCGCTTAAGCCCAAGAGTTTGGGGTTGCTGTGAGCTGTAATGCCACAGCATTCTACTGAGGGTGACATTGTGAGACTTTGTCTCAAAAAAAAGTCAGGGGAACAGTCTCTGAATAAAAAAGTCTACAAAGAGAAAAGAGAGAAAATAGAGGACATGAAATAAATAATACAATTCTGAGAATTAAAGGTCATGACTTTCTAGTTTGAAAGAAGCTCTGAGCTGCTATCCTAAGAAATTTCAAAACAATGGAATAAAGAGAAGATCCTGCCAACTTTCAGAGAGAAAAGCAAAGGAATGGCATCTGACCTCTCTGCAGCAACTCTAGAAGTAAGGCGATAATGAAGCAGTGGCTTCACAATTCCGAGGGAAAATCACTTCTATGCTAGAACTTTCTTGATTGATTGATTGATGGATTAATTAAGACGGAGTCTCACTTGGTTGTTCTTGGTACAGTGCTGTGGAGTCTTATCTCACAGCAACCTCAAACTCGGGCTCATGTGAGTCTCTTGTCTCAGGTCCCTGAGTAGCTGGGACTACAGGCACCTACTACCATGCCTGGCTATTTTTAGAGACAGGGTCTCGCTCTGGCTCAGGCTGGTATCAAACTTCTGAGCTCAAGGAATCTACCTGCCTTGGCCTCCCAGAGTGCTAGGATTATAGGTATGAGCCAACACACTGGCCTTCTAAGCTCAAGGAATCTACCTGCCTTGGCCTCCCAGAGTGCTCAGATTATAGGTATGAGCCAACACACTGGCCTTCTGAGCTCAAGGAATCTACCTGCCTTGGCCTCCCAGAGTACTAGGATTATAGGTATGAGTCAACACACTGGCCCCACATTAGAACTTTAAACCCAACCTAGTTATCAATCAAGTTTTAAGCAAGATCTCACAAAAAATATTTCCTGTCTACTTTTTTTTCTCAGAAACCATGGGAAGATTTGCTCTGCCAAAATAAAGCAAAGCAAGGATCAAGAAAACAGGGACCCAACAGAGGTGAAGGAAACCCATAGGTCAAGAGTGAAAGAAGACCCCAAGATAGGCACTGTGGGAGGCAAGTGCCACCAGTCCAGAGAGAAGCAGGCAGAAAATCCTGGGAGAGATAACCTGAAGAATGGAGATGAACTTAATAGGTAGTTGATGTGTACTGAGGGGAGATTCAGTCAACTCCAAGAGAGCTGGAGATACATTATCATTAGTACATAAAAAAGGCAAACAAACAGAAATTAAGACAAATATTAACTCCAGAGAAAACAGGTCATGCAGGAAAGGAAAAGTACTCATCCTATACTTGATGATTCAGCTGTCTAAAGTGTCTACGTGGTTATAAGATCAGTAAATACTGGCCTAACTGCAACTGCAACATATACTAGGAGACTGGAGGGATGGGAAGCATTTGCTGAAGTGTAAATTTGTCTTTTCCAGGTGAAAGCCTCAAACTTGAAAATCAAGAAAGAGCAACTGAACAAGCATGATGTTGAGAGACATGGTGGGGTGGGGGGTAGGTACATACCCAAAGAATCAGCTAAAAAAATTAAACATGTTTATATTTGGGAGCAGGAAATGGGGAGAGGTGGGTTGGAGGGCTGCTGTATTTCACAATGGCTTTGAGAATTTTTTTTTTTTTGAGACAGTCTTACTACGTTGCCCTTGGTAGAGCGACATGGCGTCATAGCTCACAGCGACCTCAAACTCTTGGGCTTAAGCGATTTTCTTGCCTCAGCCTCCCAGTAGCCTGGGACTACAGGTGCCACCACAATGTTTGGCTTTTTTGTTATTGCTGTCATTGTTGTTTAGCAGGCCCTGGCTGGGTTAGGTGCATGTGGCTGGTGCCCTAAACACTGAGCTATGGACACTGAGCCAGAACCACTGATTCTTTACACCACAACCATCCTCACACTGATAAAGAGAAAAATACAGGGTGTGTGTGGTGGCTCAGGCCTGTAATCCTAGCGCTCTGGGAGGCCGAGGTGGGTAGATTGTCCTGAGCTAAGAGGTTCAAGATCAGCCTGAGCTAGAGTGAGACACCATCTCTACCAAAAAAAAAAAAAAAGCTGGGCTTTGTGGTGGGCGCCTGTAGTTCCAGCTACTTGGGAGCTAAGGCAAGAGAATTGCTTAAGCCCAAGAGCTGGAGGTTGCTGTGAGCTGTGATGCCATATCACTCTACCAAGGGCCACATGTCACTCTACTGAGGGTCACAAAGTGAAACAGACTCTGTCTCAATAAATAAATAAATAAATAAAAAAGAGAAAAATATATTTAAAATAATAACCACAATACCTGAAGGAACAGAATCCTGGGAACAGTCTATTCCACAGTAACACAACCCTGAAGACCTGGGAGGCTCAGCTGTATGTGTGGAGGACTTAATAAAATCATGTACCTTTGGTGCCTTTCCAGCTTTGAGCGACTGCACGAGCTCCCCTTGTGTAGCTATGCTGTTAAACAGCTCCACTGGAGAGGCACAAGACTTGCCGTTGGGCACGTCCGCCATATTTTAGGAACTATGTTCACAACTGGCGAGAGGGTCAGAAGATTCGTCCAGCAGTTGAGACAAGACTGGGAAGAAAGAGAGGAAGAGAGATTAACAATCCATTGTAGCTGTTCTTCCTTTCCTATACCTAGTCATTTTGAAAAAGGTTATAAATTACAGTAAAGGATATGGATAATATAACATTTATAAGAATATAAGCAGAAATTTGGGAAGATGAAAAAGTGGAAGAATGAATACCAACAATGAGGACTAAGGGAATTGCTATGATCTACTGACTTAAAATCTGCAAAGACTGATCCCTCCTAGTCAAGATCGAGTTTGTTATTTGGTGGTGCCTCACCCAGTGCCCAGAGCATAAGAGGGTCTCAGGTTTGCTCAGGGAATAAATACCAGTGTGTCTAAATAAACCTAAGTTCATTAGAGCTAAAAACATTTGACAAATTGCTATTTGCTCTTTATCTTTATTGCCTTGTAGAAAAATTCTTAGGTCTTTTCAGCCATAAACAAAATATTACTGAACAAATAGCTTCCACTGTTAGCCAGCTGCCCTCTTTTCAGACAAAGTGAGCTCTGGCATGGAGGACAGGGCCTTATCTGTTCTACATTCCAAACGGGGTAAGGACTATCTATGGCAGTGATTTTCAACCAGTGTGCTGCAAAAAATTTTAAAGATCATTAATTATTTCTGAAAGAAGTTCAAAGCACAGTAAGTATCTATTTTTTTTACTCTGTCTGCCATGCTAGTTAAACTATAGGTTCAAGTGTGCCATGACATAAAAAAGATCAAAAAACATTGATCTAGTTTGGTGCCTATAGCTCAGCCGCTAGGGTGCTAGTCTCATGCACCAGAGCTGGCAGATTCGAACCCAGCCCAGGCTTGTCAAAACAATGACAACTACAACCAAAAAATAGCCAGGAGTCGTGGTGGGCGCCTGTAGTCTCAGCTATTTGGGAAGCTGAGGCAAGAGAATCACTTAAGCCCAAAGAGTTTGAGGTTGCTGTGAGCTGTGATGCCATCACACTCTATTGAGGGTGACACAGTAAGATTCTGTCTCAAAAAAAAAAAAAAAAAAAAAAGGCTTGGTGCCTGTGGTTCAAGTGGCTAAGGCGCCAGCAACATACACCTAAGGTGGCAGGTTCGAATTTAGCCCAGGCCCACCAAACAACAATGACAGCTGCAACCAAAAAATAGCCAGGCATTGTGGCGGGCGCCTGTGGTCCCCAGTTACTTGGGAGGAAGAGGCAGGAGACTCGTTTGAGCCCAGGAGTTGAGGTTGCTGTGAGCTGTGATGTCACAGCACTCTACCCAAGGGAACAGCTTGAGGCTCTGTCTCAAAAAAAAAAATAAAAAGCAAAAAACCCCACACAAGAAACAAACAAACAGGCGCAGCGCCTGTGGCTCAAGTGGCTAAGGCGCCAGCCACATACACCCAAGGTGGTGAGTTGGAATCTAACCCAGGCCCACCAAACGACGACGGCTACAACTGAAAAACAGCCAGGTGTTGTGGTGGGTGCCTGTGGTCCCAGCTACTTGGGAGGTTGAGGCAGGAGACTCATTTGAGCCCAGGAGTTGGAGGTTGCTGTGAGCTGTGATGCCATGGTATTCTACCCAGGGGGACAGCTGGAGGCTCCTGTCTAAAAAAAAACAAGTAAGAAAGAAAGAAACAAACAAAAAACCCCACTGATCTATAGACTATTTCACATGCTCCTTTACTGAACTGCAAACCTTTTAAGTAGGTATGCTGGTCCCTTCTATTAGTAACTATTTACTATTAACCTCGTAAACCTATAACCTATAACCTAGTGGGACATAGGGCAGGCACGTACTGGGCCACCATCAGCCCCCTCTTAGGTCAGTCACTTCTCCTTTCTGTGTATCAGTTTCCTCATCCATAAAATGGTGCCACCAGGAACCTCTTCAGCTACCCCTCAAGGGCTGTTATGAGAACAAAATGAGGAAAAAACAACATGGTAGCACTTTGTAAACTATAAAGCAAAATGTAAATACATTATGAATACTGTTATTAAATTTGTTTTCTTCAAAACTGGTTGAACTTTAGCTTTACCTTAACTATTGTAATTCCTTAGAGGAGGAAGACAACTAGGAGGCTAATGCCAGAGCAGCTAAAATTTTTTTTTTTTTGAGACAGAGCCTCAAGTGAGTCTCCTGCCTCAGCCTCCCAAGTAGCTCGGACCACAGGCGCCTGCCACAACGCCAGGCTATTTTTTGGTTGCAGCCATCACTGTTGTTTGGCAGATCCAGGCTGGATTTGAACCCACCACCTTAGGTGTATGTGGCTGGAGCCTTAGCCACTTGAGCCACAGGCGCCGAGCCAGAGCAGCTAAATTTGAACACTTCTGTATCTGGGATTGTTCTAATCTAAGCATCTCATACAAATCAATAAACTTAGGCTTTATAGCAATCATATGAGAAAAGATTTCATATCTCCATTTCATAAATGAAGCATAAAGTGGTTAAAAATCTTGTTCAAGGCTTGGCGCCGTGGCTCAAGTGGCTAAGGCGCCAGCCACATACACCCAAGGTGGCAGGTTCAAATCCAGCCTGGGCCTGCCAAACAACAATGACGGCTGCAACCAAAAAATAGCCAGGTATTGTGGCAGGCACCTGGGGTCTCAGCTACTTGGGAGGCTGAGGCAGGAGACTCGCTTGAGCCCAGGAGTTGGAGGTTGCTGTGAGCTGTGATACCACAGCATTCTACCCAGGGGGACAGCTTGAGGCTCTGTCTCAAAAAAAAAAAAAAAAAAAATCTTGTTCAAGAGTGCAGTAAGTGGCTGGGATACAAACTCAGGTAGTTTGACCTCAAAGCCTGTACTTTCAATCATTATCCTACAAATGACTTAACTTGATGAACCAAACACATGCATTTGTGGTATAACTTATTTTTATTTATCCACTTATTAAATATTTGTTTAGTAAATTTTAACTAAACCAATCTTTGTATGAGTCAATTAAATCATAATACTGAAACCAGGATGAGACAATAGCTACTTTCTTTTTCCTTTTTGATGAGAACCACCCTAAGTCCCAGAAAGGGAAGTTTGGTGAGATCACTTACTCAGATAACAAATCGTCCAGTTTAAGGAGGCCTATAAAAGAGAGAAGTAAGATAGAATACCTTCTGTCTAGTGCTAGGAAAGAGAAGCACTCAGGTTCCCCATCCCTTTCCCAGCAACAAGCTGACCAAATTAGCCATTACCCATTTCTCTCTGGTTTTTTTGGTAGTATCAAACAACAATCAAAGTAGTGAAAATTACTTCTAGCTACACAAGATCAAATATCATGTCCAGACACTTTACATATTATCCCAATATTAAGCAAGATATATGTACTGTTTTGGTTTTGGGGTTTTTTTTTCATTCTTAATTTCAACATTTTTCTTTTTTATTTCCTTTTTTTCTTCTCATTTTTTCCCTTCACTACTCTAGTTTAAATACACTCTTCCATTTTTGCTTTCTTTAACAATTAGAACTTCATTTTTGTAGTTTTTCTGCCCCTATTATTTGGTTTTTCTACCAATTTTATCCCGTAAGGTTTAATTTATAGTATTTTTGTCTTTCTTCTCTACCTGGTAGAGGTGGGGTACTGTGTCTCATCACGCTGGTAAAGAGCTGCTGACTTAAAGGGAACCACCCAACCCAGTATCCCCAGAGGTTGGGGGTTTTTAAGGTTGGGTCAAAGTACCCTACTATACACCTATATTACTCCTGTCTCCTTCTTTCGGTGCCTTTCTTCTTTTTGTCAATATTTCCTTTTACTCACCCCCTCTTCTTTCTCTTTTTTCTTTCTTTTTTTTTTTTGA